ACATGTAGTGACAATGTCATGGTCCTTTAAATAATGTGCAATAAGTGAGTGAAGTATAGTGAAGTAAGTATAGTAGTAGTAGTAGGAGATAGGGTGAGGAGCTCGGTCACCCGGGAGGAGCTCAGAGTAGAACCGCTGCTCCTCCACATCGAGAGGAGCCAGCTGAGGTGGCTCGGGCATCTGTTTTGGATGCCTCCTGGGCGCCTTCCTAGGGAGGTGTTCCGATCATGTCCCACCGGGAGGAGGCCCCGGGGAAGACCCAGGACACGCTGGAGGGACTATGTCTCTCGGCTGGCCTGGGAACGCCTCAGCATTCCCCTGGAGGAGCTGGAGGAAGTGTCTGGAGAGAGGGAAGTCTGGGCATCTTTGCTTAGACTGCTGCCCCCGCGACCCAGTCCCGCATAAGCGGAGGAAAATGGATGGATGGATGGACAGTTCCATAAAATTTAGGAAAATTAAAAAGAGGTATTAAATCTTAGGGAAAACATTTTGATGTCTCTTTATGAAGTTCAATTTATTTAATCTTTTTTTGTGTGTGTGAGAGTGTGTTATTCTTTGCCTTCTTTTTGCATGCATTATAAAAAAAAAAGTTGTTCAAAGTCCAGGGTTTAGCTTGTTGTGTGTGTGTGTGTGTGTGTGTGGTAGGATTACTCGTGTTGTGGGAATGTAAATCTGTTTACACAGTCAATTATGGGGACTGGACATCCTTATGGGGACAAAAAGCAGGCCTCCAAAAAAATAAACCATTACATTTTAGAGTGATGACTGGATTCAGTGTTAAGGTAAGGGTTATGGTTAAAGTAAGTCTCCAGGAAATGAATGTAAGTCAGTGTAACGTTCCTTGAAATGACGGAAACACAGCGTGTGTGTGTCACACCCAGAAGTATAATCTTTTTTCTCTTTACCCCACTGTGCTTCCCTTTGCCCTAGATATGAGCATGTGCCACTGACTGGGCCAGTGTGTGTGTCTTGTCCATATGGTTGTCCTCCCAGTGTGTGCACGTCACAGATACACAGGAGACATACAGTACACCCCAGGGGATCTCTCCATGTACACATGCCTGAGGGCCCCCAAGAGAGCAAAAAAAGAGTAAGAGTGAGGGGTGTATAATTGTTGTGGCTTTTAGTTTAGTTCAGTTTGCATTACAGATTTATTGATAATTGAGATATTAGTCTTTTCTGGAGAAACCAAGAAAGGACTAAAGCGAGGGCATGAAGGAAAGAGGGACAAGAGGAGAGAGCAGACAAAGCCAAATCAACAATTTCGTACAGCTAACTGGGTAAATAGGGAGCTAATATGGGCAGATGTGTTGTATGAGTACCCATATGTGTGCCTATATGAAGAAAAAACAATGAAGAAAGAAATGAAGAAACAAGGATTGAAGACAGGAAGAAAATCATCAACAGATTTGCCACATTGCCAGAATAACAAAATATTCTTCAAAGTCTTCAAATTTGCCCTCTGAAACCAAGTTGAAAGGTTTAATTAATCACAAAAACAGTCAGCAGTGTCATTTCTTGATTACAAGCCAGAGCACAAGGCAACTGACTGGTAATCTCATAATGCTCAAAATTAGTAGTCACCGATATTTTACAAAATAGTTATCTGTCTAAATAACTATGTTCAAATTTAATAAGGGAGAGAGAAGATGGTGAAGCAGTGGAGAGAAACATAAAGCTTCTGAGGCATCATATCTTATGAACAAGAACACTTCTCAAAAATGTTAAATTTCAATTATTTGCTGAGGCATCTTTATGTTGCAACACCTAAAAACATCTGCTGTTAATTAAAAACAGGCTTCTACCTTTCAAAAAGCAGCTGGTACTCTGTCTGATTATGGTTACTTTTTATGGGATTCAGCTAAAATACATGTGCTACTTAACGCTTCAAATCCAGCTCTATATATTACAGAGCTTGAACAAAGGCGTTACATCGTGTCAGCTGTTGCTTTTTCCTTCGGTGTCACGCTGTCAGTTGGTTTGTGAAATGCACTCAGCTCTGAAGCAGCAAGCTTTCCTCTCTGTCAGCCTTACGGGCACATCAGACAGGCTGTTTCTTTCTCTTCATTGTAGCTGAAGCACAGTTTTCACTCCTTACTGACACTTGAACCTGTGACAGACAAACCATGTCACCTCAAAATCAACAAGTTGTTTGTTGAAGTATGACATATTTCCTATTCTGTTCTAGTCCTTTGAAACATTCCTTGTATTTTGCAGGGAATGAAATATATTTGTTACATGTTAGATCTCATGGATATGCACATTGTGCAGCATTTAGATAAATACGCTGCAAACTAAAAACAACAAGCAAACTGAGAAAAATGTGCAAAATAAAACACCATCAATTATGTAATTTAATTTTTTAAAGACAACTGAATACAGAACATGCACTAACATGTGCTAACAGGCTAATGTTCTGTTTGCATGATTCAAATTTTACTGTGTATGTATAATGCAGGACACTGTATGTAGTATACATTTTAACATAACCTATGTTACAATCAGGCAACTTTGTTCCATCTGTGCAACTTGCATCACTTGCTTGTTGTTTCTTCTTCTTTATTTATTTATTGTATGAGCATCAAGTTTTTATATTTGGTTGCAGTTTCTATATTTGTAGTGTGCTTTATTATGAGTATAAGGGTGGCTGAAATTGTGAAGATGTTTGCTATTCATTTGCTCATGTTTTTTCTATTTAAATGGGTTTTCTTTAGCTGCAGTGCATTAAGCTCTGAGGGATCTACTTATTTAGTCCAGTACATATCTCATTTATTAATGTTTGTTATATTCTGATTATATAACCAAAGGATCCCTGATTCCCATCCCTTACGTGACCAGATTAGGATTTCAATGTAAATTCAATTGTGAGAAATGTTTTTAATTATCGAGCCACCTAAACTGGATTGGAGCAACACCATTATGTTTTGATGCACACTCATGTGTAATGACACAGTATAGCCCTGACTTGCTGAGTAAATACATTTTCTCAGAAAAAATGTCACCTCTCACTCTTATTTTCTGACTCGTGAGGACCTCCTGAGCATATAAAAACACAGGCAAACACACACACTGTGTCAGGTAACCGATGTTGTCCTACTTTTAATTAAAGCCAACAAATTAAGACATAGTACTTACTCACTGCTGCAGAAACAGGCCCCAACATGCACACACACACACACCTTCCCATCCTCTTCACATTATTCAGCAATCGGCTGCTGTTTAAAAACTGCAATTTTAATTAGTGTTCAAGGATGGCAGCAGATACTTGAACAGTCCAGGACTTTGTTCTTCTTCAGACTGCTTTCAGGCTGCTGTTGTTGTGCTTCAGCAGGTTTAAGGCTCTAAGAGCTTTTGAAATCACAGGTTTGAATGCAGCCATCACACACGGCACTGAGTGCACATGGTTTGTGCTTCAGCCCACTGAGCTGCAAAGAGCATCATGCTGTCGACCCGTCTACCTGTTGACATCTGCAGGACCTGTTTTCCTTTGTCTCTCCCACTTTCACAGTGTTTTCTCACTGTGTTCAGCCTAATTATAATGACAGGGATATATTTTTTCTTGTATAACTGTTGTTATTGATACTATAGAGGCATGAAAAGGTTCATCTCTAAAACTAAAGTTTTGTAGGCATTTAACGGTGTAAACCAAATTTCTGCTCTCCCTCTTGCCAAGGAATTAATGCCAAAAACACCACTAAATTAAATGATCTTGGTCTTTTAGCATAAAAACATTTTATTCGCCTCACAAAAGTAAATTTAAAAAAAAATCTGCCAGTGCATTAAGATTATTCAAACACGTTTCATTGTTGTTTTGTTGATCTCAGCATCAAAACTATAATGAGTGAGTGTACACAATGTGTCTAGATAAAACAGTATTGTTGAATGTTGAACAATATTCAGCAGTGGTATAAATAAGAGTTGACCCAAATCTGGACTTAACACTTTATTTTCTTTGTTTGTTTTTCATTTCTTAACCAAATATATCCTTAATTATCTGAAGCCAACTTTTTTCTTTTCCATTGCAAAGATCTGACTGACAGCAGCTGAAGTCGAAGTCAGGGAGGGGGTATCTGGCGGCCAGAATCTTGTAGTCACAGTCTGCGTACCTCATACAACTAGTATAGGTTCTTTCTGTGGGGAGACAGCATAAAAGGAACAGTATCAGTCATCATTATAACAGATAACAATGCTCATAATGTGCAACATTTTAGAGAAAGGCTAATAACACACAAGTTCAGACACTTTCCTCCTAAATAATGGGTCTAAAATAACCACCAGGTTGTCTTGGTATTTGTCAAGTCCAACCTTTATGCCAGTTCCTGACTATTAATGCTACATATACAGAAGCCAAGAGACCTTAATAACTCAAAGAAGCAAATAGACAACACATAAACACAAATGAAGAAAACATCTGAACCACTTTAACAACATGTATATCACAAAATATTTTCACGAACACACACAGAACACATCGTAAAACATGCAGAGAAAGCATAAAGTAAGTAAATGAGAAACACTGTGAAACACTTTTGATGCTTTTATTTTGGTTGGTTTCCTGTTTTCTGTCACCTCACCTGCCCCAGCTTTACCCCGGTTCACAATCACCATTCATTGTTTTCACCTGTTGCTCATTATCTCCTGGTATACCCTATATATCCTCCTCCCTTCCCTCAGTCTAGTTGTTGGTACATTTTGTCTCTGTGCCTTGTTGCCCCTGTCATTTCTGTTCTCTCAGCTCACCACTCCTGTATCTCTGCCCTGTAAGTTCAGTACCTGTCTCTTGTTTGTTCCTGACTTTGTTTGATTTGCCTCATTGTTGTCTGAGTTTTTATAATCAGCAGTACTTGGGTTTATTTCACTGATTTGGTTTTTATTTTTGCACCCAGCTTCCTGGCCTAGCTTTGTACTTTTTGTTTTACTACATCAGGTTGAGCCTTGTATTTTGTTCCTGTTTTGTTGCATTAAAATCCTATTGACCTCTGCCTTGGCTTGCATCTGTGTATTTGGGTCCTTCCCTTGCCAGAAACCTAATACACTGTCTTTGTTGTATGAAAACCCCCTTTATTAGATGACTACTGTAGATTATTACTGTAGATTAAAAGGCTTATACTTATCAGTAATAATCACCATTCTAAGTCGTTGTAGTAGTAGTTAACTATTCTGTTACTTTTTGTGATGTCTTTGGTTCTAGAAAACTAACGGCACATTTTGTTGCTTCACTCCATCAGTATGTGAACATTCAATTCCATTACATTTCTATGGAACCCAGGAGGAGACACGGGAAGAGAAACAAATCAATGGTTAACTTTGAGATCTCGCATCACATTTCTTGCTATCATCCTAACAGTTGTGTAAAACTTTATTTCATGTTACTTGTTAAAACTGTTAATGTTTAATGTTGAAATGAACTATTGTTGGATTTAGTACTTTTCAGGTTTTCCTCTTGTATTTACCTCCACTGATGATTTTGAGGCAGCCGTCTTCACTTTGTTGACACTCCTGTTTGACTTCACAGCTGCTGGAGGAGCCATCGGGACAGGAGTAACACTGCAGCGAGAGGCCTGGAGAGGCGAGACGGAGTTCACATGATGCAGGTTATTCAGAGCAGTGTATGCTTTAGAAGGGAAAGTGATCATTATTGATAAATGATTATGCAGCTTTTCCTCATTTCACTGCTATTCTCATTATTCTCAGATCTTGCCAACTGTTCCCTCAGGCTGATATTTCCTCTGACTTGGGTCCACATGGCTGTGCCTTTTAAAGTATTAATGAAAGTTTTTCCTTCAGCGTTCTTTTTCTTACCAAATCCAAACATGGCGAAGCTGACAGCCAGGCAAAACACCACGGAGCTCTTCATCCTGTTTCAAATGTTGTCACTGCTGGATAAGAGGCAGGAAATTAACTTTTGTGGGAATAAAGGTTCACAGATATCACCTCTGCATCTCCCTTTCTGTTAACAGTTTGGCCAAAAAGTTCTTCACAAAGCAGAACCACCCAGATTTATGTGGTAATGTTTTCACCTTCACTGACTTTCCGGAGTTGTCTAGTTCGATTTTTGCATGATTTAATAAAACTTCCAAAGATGAAAATTTGTTCAATTTTTTTTTTTTTCAATATTGAAAAAAAGACTATGGCAACAGCTGAATAGGTTTTTTTTTTGCTATAATAAACATTTTTACCACAAAGTACACTGCAGTCACTGAACTCACCTGTGAATGTGGAGAAATGACTTTCTGTTGGTGAGGAAGATTCTGTTTGAAACTGCACCAACAGAAAAAGTAAACTGGTTTGTTTGAGATCAGAGTCCATGTGTGGACTTGCTTCAGATGTTTAACATAATGGCCAATACAGTGCAACCCAGAGTGAAAGATACCGAGTGTTCTAGTCTTGTTTCTAGTCTTTATTTCATAAACTCTACATGTTAATTGCATCAAGTAATGTGTAATTTAGCTACGGTGCCTTGCGAAAGTATTCGGCCCCCTTGAACTTTGCGACCTTTTGCCACATTTCAGGCTTCAAACATAAAGATATAAAACTGTAATTTTTTGTGAAGAATCAACAACAAGTGGGACACAATCATGAAGTGGAACGAAATTTATTGGATATTTCAAACTTTTTTAACAAATAAAAAACTGAAAAATTGGGCGTGCAAAATTATTCAGCCCCCTTAAGTTAATACTTTGTAGCGCCACCTTTTGCTGCGATTACAGCTGTAAGTCGCTTGGGGTATGTCTATCAGTTTTGCACATCGAGAGACTGAAATTTTTGCCCATTCCTCCTTGCAAAACAGCTCGAGCTCAGTGAGGTTGGATGGAGAGCGTTTGTGAACAGCAGTTTTCAGTTCTTTCCACAGATTCTCGATTGGATTCAGGTCTGGACTTTGACTTGGCCATTCTAACACCTGGATATGTTTATTTGTGAACCATTCCATTGTAGATTTTGCTTTATGTTTTGGATCATTGTCTTGTTGGAAGACAAATCTCCGTCCCAGTCTCAGGTCTTTTGCAGACTCCATCAGGTTTCCTTCCAGAATGTTCCTGTATTTGGCTCCATCCATCTTCCCATCAATTTTGACCATCTTCCCTGTCCCTGCTGAAGAAAAGCAGGCCCAAACCATGATGCTGCCACCACCATGTTTGACAGTGGGGATGGTGTGTTCAGGGTGATGAGCTGTGTTGCTTTTACGCCAAACATAATGTTTTGCATTGTTGCCAAAAAGTTCGATTTTGGTTTCATCTGACCAGAGCACCTTCTTCCACATGTTTGGTGTGTCTCCCAGGTGGCTTGTGGCAAACTTTAAACGACACTTTTTATGGATATCTTTAAGAAATGGCTTTCTTCTTGCCACTCTTCCATAAAGGGCAGATTTGTGCAGTATACGACTGATTGTTGTCCTATGGACAGAGTCTCCCACCTCAGCTGTAGATCTCTGCAGTTAATCCCGAGTGATCATGGGCCTCTTGGCTGCATCTCCTGCGTCTTCTCCTTGTATGAGCTGAAAGTTTAGCGGGACGGCCAGGTCTTGGTAGATTTGCAGTGGTCTGATACTCCTTCCATTTCAATATTATCGCTTGCACAGTGCTCCTTGGGATGTTTAAAGCTTGGAAATTTTTTTGTATCCAAATCCGGCTTTAAACTTCTCCACAACAGTATCTCGGACCTTCCTGGTGTGTTCCTTGTTCTTCATGATGCTTTCTGCGCTTTAAACGGACCTCTGAGACCATCACAGTGCAGGTGCATTTATACGGAGACTTGATTACACACAGGTGGATTCTATTTATCATCTTTAGTCATTTAAGTCAACATTGGATCATTCAGAGATCCTCACTGAACTTCTGGAGAGCGTTTGCTGCACTGAAAGTAAAGGGGCTGAATAATTTTTCACGCCCAATTTTTCAGTTTTTTATTTGTTAAAAAAGTTTGAAATATCCAATAAATTTCGTTCCACTTCATGATTGTGTCCCACTTGTTGTTGATTCTTCACAAAAAATTACAGTTTTATATCTTTATGTTTGAAGCCTGAAATGTGGCAAAAGGTCACAAAGTTCAAGGGGGCCGAATACTTTCGCAAGGCACTGTATAATTTGTTGCAGAAACAATCTGACCGCAGTTTTCAGGGAAGTGAGGGCAAGCAGAACAAGGACAGCAAGAGGGAGGAATGTAAGAAAAAGGACAAAAGTAGAGTGTGATTAAATGTGCAAGTGGTAATGGTAAAGCAAGAGAAGGAAAAAGAGGCAGAGTAACAGTTGAACATCAAGAAACACAGAGAGGAGGTGAAATCATGACATGCTACAACTTATGTTGCCATAACAAACACGGTTTTAGGTGCATTATAACCTCTGACTTTCCAATGAGGGAAGAATGCCACTTTTGAATTTAATGCGAGTCCTCTGCTGCTTTTAACGCCCTCCATCTCAAAAAGCCAAATTGATGTTAACCCTGGCTTTTGCTCTATCTTTGTCTCTGTTTAAAAGAACGTGACCACTTCGGGCTGACAGCCATTGTTTCAGACTTTCAGCTGCTGAGAGCTCCACCATGGTTGGGTGTTTGAAATGACTACTCCCAGTTCAAAAAACGCTTCTTAGGGCAGAGACTCACCAAGCCGATGGCTGGCTGTCAGCCACCATCATGCCTTCAGTGAGCATCTGCTGGGGCTTGTTCTCCTGGTGTCCTACACCTTTGCCACCAGTTGGCCCCTGTTGGTGTTTTTTTTTTTTTTTTGGCCAATTCGTCATGTTGAATAGGCTGGGCGTTGTCAGTCAGAGCGCTGTGACTGGCTGTTGTACTTGGTGACTCTTGTTCTTTCCCCTTCAGTATGGCAAATATAGATACCACCAACTGCTGGTAGAGGGAGTTATTTGTCACACAGGAGCACAATAAACATGCTAGTCAGCACGTTGTTGGTTGTTGTCCTTGTTGTGTGCTCAAGTGTCACTTTTTCAATCTAACTGGCACAGACAAAGCCAACATGAGGCGACACAGAGGTCAGCCTTCATCGTAGCTAGTTCTTTCACATCTGCTTGGTGTGTTTCTGCCCTTAGAACCTTCACTAGGCAGCGGGTGTGGCTAATTTATGGACCTAAAGGGTAGAGAAGCTGGAAAAACTGAAGGGCTGTAGGCAGCAAAGTGTCAGAGGTGGGTAGTAGAGCGAAGAGACACCATGTCTTGTCCCATTTCACTTGACTTATCCGACAATGTGTCAAAATCTTTGTGGGACTATTGTTCACAAAGTGCACCATAAACTGAGCTGACATCTGTGTTGTACAGGTAAAAATAAATGTATGATGTACGATTAATGTTTGGATGGTTGGCGTGATGATGCAGAGGCTTCAGTGTGCTTGCCCTCCAGCTCATAACAAATTCACTCTGCCTGAACACAGGAGTCATATACTGTGAGCCAGTAAACTTTTATTGCTGCAGGATTTGCCCCAAAAGTCTGGGTATAATATCTCTGTCCATCAAAGTGAGAGAAGAGTCAGCACATTTCTGCTGAGAGGCTGAGATTTGGTGTTGGTGAATTTACAAATAGAAGAAAACGGGAGGATGAAAAACACTATAGTGATGGACAGCAAGAGTCCCCAGACTATAAACTACATTAACAAAGCATGAAATGACATGAAAACAATTAATCCTGCTAACAACTTTTCTCTGTGTATCCAATATAACTTCAGTTTGTTCTCATATGCATCATTCTGCTGCTATAAATACTGACTAGCACAAAAAGGTGTCTTTAATTTGCAGCTGAAAATAATCCCAAACTAGTAGTATATACACAGTACTCCTGCTCAAATAACATTTACTAAAAATGGCATTGCCCTGCTGTTCAGGAAACAACTAAGGCTTTTAAAATAAAACTACATATTTATGTTGTCAGTAAAAACAAATGGACATGGGGCTCTATGGAACAGAGAAAATCAGGGCATTGGGAAATATTGAGAGACTGACTAAATCATAATAAAACCTATCCTATAAAACAGGACATCTATCTAAATCAGACCACACCTGACAGCAGTAATAAAGTGAAATAACTGGGACTCAGTTCTAGGAAAGAAATCTTGGTTAATTAGACCCATATTTGTTCGGTCCCAGTGGTCTCAGTAATGTTGATAAAAATTCAGAACTTGAAATAAAATTGGACTATAACCACAACAGGCAATGATTGGACCAGAGGCCTGAAATTGGACAAGTCAGGTCCTCCTCCTTTTTTCTTAACAATGAAAACTGCCAGGAAAGCTTTTCTTATGAAACTTCACCCTGTAGAATGCCCCATCGTCCCATCGCTGTCAGCAGTGACACAGGTTTTATATCACTAAACATTCAATCAGGACTGAAACTCTCTTCTTATGAGTTTTAAAATCCTGAATTCGCATTAAGCCTGCTTTCCTCCTCCTTGCTTTCTCACTGCAGATCGCTGTAAGCTTTAGAGCCTGCTGGAGACAGAGACACACTCATGCATGCAGCAGAAGCATGAAATAAAAGTTAATGTTACACTTGCATGTTGAACTCTTCTTTATGCAGCTGAAGTTTTTTTTTTTTGTACCAGTTTTAGCCTCAATGCTTAGACAATTTCACTGTGATGGATCAAATTATTACTATAATCTATACACAGGTTTACCACGCTAAAGCCTTAAAGGATAAAATGCCATTTTCTATATTAATATTTTCCACACTCCACATACAGAGACTAAAACCAACCATGAATCATCTCTACTCACGGTTAATGTCCGTGGGTGTCAGTCCTGGATCAGCTTATTTGTCTGTGCTATGGGACTCTGTTGTTCAAAAACACAGCATTGAAACACACCGCGGCACTGGGAGGCATGTTTCCTTGACTAGCTTGACTAGCTACCAGACTTTAGTTTCAACTGGGAGATCCCATAAAATCTTACACATGTGCATTTGACTCTGACTTGTGCTAACCTCAGGAAAATAA